TGAGATATCAAAAAAGTACTCCAGAGTGTTGTTCAGCATGGGGGTGAGTAGAAAATGAAGGCTAATCATGTTTTGGGTGTACTATTCCTTTAAGTACAGTAGTGAAGTATTTTTACTTCGTTACTATACAACACTGGCCGTATGATGAACTGTTCTCTCTTTGCAAAGATATGAAAATAAACTGCAGATTGAGTGAAATCCTTCGATTGCTGTCTATTTAACTGGGGTGAATAGTTGAGTACTTTTTTCCTACTACATAAATAAAATGAAAATTTAACATTTCAATCCTGAAATAAGCATCTAAGAAATAAACGATTCTTACCTGTGAGCTGGTGAATACTGGCTTTTTACCAAGCCTCCGATTGTCTCCTTTATCAATAGCTTCTGTTGGGAAAAAGGCGAGGAAAAAACCCCACCAACGAATAAATAAGTTACTGACCTTAAAAGATCCAATACTTTGATATTATTTCATTCAAATGTTGCATATCAAAACAGATTTAATGATTTCCCATCTTTATCTGGTCGCTTCCTCCATCAGCAAAGCTCCACATCTGTCTGTTCTGAATCTTTCTTCATGCTTTTCTGCCCATTTGGCATCATGAACATGCACTTAAGGACTGTAGGAATACTGGGCCAGATACCCCAGATCAATAATTCATGCGGCCCATTTCCAAATATTAGCTTCAACATTGATGAAGCAGATTAGTTATTGCATTTGTAAAAGCTTTATAATGTATGCAGAGCCACAGCAGCAGCAGCAGCAGGCTGAGCTTTATCCTGTTAAAACCACAGCATGGCGCATCTGGTGCATTTTTAGCTCCAGACACAGTGCCATCACGTTTCATAAAAGCTCTGGCCAGATATTAAATGGGTTAGCAGCGATCAGGCAGCTGTAATGCAAGAAGCTAAGCGGTCCAGTGAAGAGGCTTTGGAAAATTGTTACTGCAGGGGAGCCCAGAAAAAAATAGAAAGACATGCAGATATCTCACGTGAACAGAGTGGGTTTTCAGTCCTTACCTGCTAGTATCCTCTCTTTGTGTTTGGGTGACAGTGCCTCCCATCCCTGCGTGTGGCGAACCGCATAAGAGGTCTGAAGCAGGAAGGTCCAGAGGCGCCCGCGTAGCGTGCAGATCTCCTGCCTGAACGGCTGCCGGGGATTCAGGGGGAGACAGGCAGAAGAATGGAAGGGGTGCGCTACAGCACGGGCGAATCAGCAGCTGCTTAAAGAACCTTTCACCATGGCAACAAATACCCTCCCCTCCTCCCTTTTTCCCTCTCTCTCTCTGTCTTTCTACCCCTCCTTCCCTCCCCCTCTGTGTCTAAATTCACTTAAGCTCTCTAAACAGAGTCTGTGATGTCAGGAGGCGACACCAAATTCCTGGGTTTTAAGATGGAGCTGGAGGACGAACGGGGGGCTTCCACTGCCACCAAGCATCTCACCGACAAAACACCAGCTTCAACGTTAGACGCAGGGCTAGATTAGTGAGGACGTCACGGTATCCCTCAGCCTAATCCATCCTGCTCTGCTGTCCAGGGCTACCGGGGGTTTTATACGCCTACAACCAGGTCACTGTGATGGGAGCCGGCTCACGAGCTCAGCTCTCATCTTAACATCGATTTTCAGGCTTTAATCAAGCTGCTCAACTGAAAACGAAGCAAAGACTTTGGATCCATGGCTGTGAATGTTTGAGTCTAACGGATAAAATCACATACATTCTAAAAGTAGAATGGGAGGCAGATCTTTTAGTTCTCAGGCTCCTCTCCTGTGGAACCAACTACCAGTTTTA